TTTCTTAGACATTGTTGAACTTAGAGTTTTGGTACATTGACTTTTAGATTCTAGGGGGTTTTCCGCAATGTTTGGTAGTGATTTTGGTTAAAACTTCAGAGTTTATGGGAACTCCATTTTATTTCTGCATTTAAACCCGCTTCCGTATCTTTAAATGTTTAGTTTTGGGGTTAGTTGGTTAGTAGTAATGGTTTTCCCACCAGAGAGTTAGTGTGGGTGCCAATCATAACGGTCTGGGTCGTGACAGGGGCGTAGAAGAGAAGGGGTGGAAGAAGGTGGGGCAATTTTGATTTTAAAATGCATTTTAAATTAATTGATTAGTGTAATGAATTTTAAAAAATGTTTAAGAAAAAGGGTGAATAAGCAAAAAAAAAAAGATAAAAAATTAATGATGTGGTGCTTACATGGTTGTGACGTGGCGCTTACATGGTTATGATGTGCCAGGTGAGAGTGGTATGTTACTCTCAGGGTTGTATTTAATTCACTTCATAGATGTTAAAGGAGATATTTAATCACCTGTATTGTTTAAGTGCTAAAGTAAGTTGTTCGTCTAAGTTCATGGGGGATTTTATGTATTTTCTCTAATAAATATATAGAATAATATTAGTACAACACTAATTATTTAGACATTAAAACTTTCACTATTTTATCTTAATTGAAATATTTTTTAATTTTTGTGCAATGGATTAACAAAAGAAATTTAATTAACTTGAATATTTCTACATATTTAAAGTGTTAGTATGATATAATTGAAATGTTTCTTGAAAAGACAAAATCATAGTTCTAATGTATATACAAATCAAAATCGAACAAACTATGATTATCAATTTTCCATATCACATAATACCAAAATCAAATTTTAAAATACCAACTTGATTAAAAAAAATGAAATGATCAAATCGAAATAATTGTACAGTCATTTCATGTTCTTTACTGAACTCATTTCTTTCCAATCGACTAATTTCTTTTATTGTTGTTGTCAGTGACTTCTAAAGTAGTATTTTTTTTATAGAGAAAAACAATGAGTACGTATAGCTAAAAATTATTTTAAATTGCATAATGATAGTTCAAACACTAATGAAATCAGTAGAACATCTACATTGACCAATTAATGTTTTGAAATTGAAATGAAATAAAGAACAAAAAGTGGCATGCAAACGATTTTTTTTCATGATAATTAAGTTAGGTGAGTCATGTTATGTTAGATTAGCTGATGATTAATCTCGTGTTTCGTATTAAGACAAAGTTATAAATCGTATGAGGGAAAGCATAATTAGCATGAAGTTTGTTTTAGGGATTTCAAGTTAAAAACAACATTCTCGTGTTGTTGAGATCAAACGCTTGGTTGAAATGGTTGGTTCATGTGAACTCAATAACTTTTATATTTATTTCATATACTTGAGGTTACTCTAGGAACTCATAAACTTTAAATATTGAATTAGCCTTTATATAAGCATATTTTATTTTTATCCTTTTCTCGTTGTTTTTTTAATACTCATTTAAGAGATACTATAACCCTCAATTTTGACATTTAGAGCTGATATAACTCTCGTTATGAAAGCGATTTGTATATACTCTTACTGTTATACAAAATGACTCACATATACCCCTACCGTTACAAAAGAAACTCGTATATATCCTTCATCTAACGGAAGTAAAAAAGTTAGTTTTAAATTTATATTTTTTACTTTTAATTTTAAGAAAAAAAATCATGTAGGGTCATATATGATTCCTTCTAGTAAAGTATCAGGTATACTTTTCATACATAAATTGTTTTTTGACTTCTTTGATTATCATTATTTGAGTTTCTTATTCTTATTCTATTTTTTTCTTTCATTATTTAGTGTAAAGAAAAAAAAAATTAAACTAATTTCTTTCGGCTATTTTATAATTAAAACTATTTTTCCGCTATATTGTTAATTAGTTTTTCTATTTGTAAAAAATAAATTGACACTTGTTTTTTCATTCTTTACCATCTCTTTCGGACCCGTATCAATTACAACAAAAATATTGATCGCAAAATAGGCTATTTGTTAAAATGAATTATACACTCACGTGGATTGACTGAGTTGGTTCGATGATCAATTTTCGTCACTAGCAGTCTTCTCAGTTAGAGTTCGTGTGATTCACATTAGCATCTAATGTATAATTTGCGAGCGCATAGATTTATTCAATACGCACCTTTGGATAGAGTGGTGAATTTCTCCAAAGTTTCAAAAAAAAAGAATTATACAATCATATTTTGATGTGGTGGATGAAGTTACTTCTCCTCTAACAGGAATCTCGATTTCAAATTTTGAGTGTGAAAAAAACTTTAATAGAAAACAGTACCTCCAAATGATCTCACCCAATGTAAATTCAAATTGGTCCAATTTTAATACGAATATCAAACACATAATTAAAAAACAAAATAAGATATACAAAGGGGCAAAAAGGATAAAAGGGACTCAAAAAGAAAAGGAAAAAGGGGAAGAAAGAAACAAAAAAATAAAGTAATTTGCACGAGGGAAGAGGCGCCCATTTCCTCTTTTTGTTTTGCGCAAAATCCGCAAAAAATTCGCCCTGCTCCTCCTCTAACCACTTCTTTTATTAAAAAATTATTTATTTTATTTCTTTTCATATTAATAGGAGAGAAAAGGGATAAATATATTCTTCAATTATTCAAAATGAGTTAGTTTTATTTTTTACTCAAAATTATCTTTCAACTAACAGAATGCAAAAATAATAATAATCCTTTTTAACGGCTATTTCAAAACCAAAAAAATGTAACTTTGGTAAAAGTTGTGAGGATAATTGATATATCCATGAACTTTAAGGTACTTAAGTGTAAATTACCTAACCATTGAATGAGCATAAGACAAATTAAAAAGGTGATTTAGCTGCTTAATCACGCCATTATGAACCAATTAATTGGTCCTGACATGTAAGATTCTCTCAAAATTTACATTATCATACACATAAGAATCTATAAAACCATTGAAGTACTCTGTTAAATAAAGGGACAAAAGGATCAGATTGCATAGAAATATATTCTCAAGGGCTAAAAAAGTAAGATTCAGATCTTCAGTATGACCAGAAAGAAATACTTTATTAAAGAAAAATTAAGTGGAATATTCTATATTAAACTAAAATAAATAAATAAATAAATTTTAAAAAACCAAACTTGATAATTTTTAAAATGTAAGGAATATACACTAATGTATATTCAATTGCACTTCTTTTTCTGTGTAAAAAATATACGACCTCACGTAGTAGGGGCTCTACCCCACTAATACTTGTCTCCTCTACGTAATTACCTTCTTCTATTAGGCAAAAAATTTACTGGTCAATTAAAATTACTCTACTTTGGTGGTATATTTATATATTTATGATTGTCATTAATCCACGTCGAAAGTTTATGAGCTTACATATAAAGGTTTAATTATAATATCCAAGTACTTTTATATAGAGTTTAAAATGTTTTGGGTGTGTGACCTTCATTTTCACGAAAAATGAAAACAAATTTCCATATAAATTAGAATGAAAAAATGAGTGATATTTCCCTTTCGATTAATTTTTCTGAATTAACCAAAAATAATACTCCCTCTGTCTCAATTTATGTGATTTACTTTTCTTTTTAGTCAGTCTCAAAAAGAGTGACACATTTTTATATTAAGTAATAATTTAACTATAAAATGTCTATTTTACCCATAATGAAATGATTTACAGTCACACAAATTTCTATCATTCATTTTGGATCACAAGTTTTAAAAATCTTCCTTTCTTTCTTAAACTTTGTGTCGAGTCAAATTACCTCACATAAAATGGAACGGAGGGAGTAATGTGAAGAAATGGAACGGAGGGAGTAATGTGAAGGTAAAAGTAAATAAAACTGAAGCAAAAGACAGTAGAGTGAAAAGAAAAGGAGCCGTTAGAGTGGGGGTAGTTTAGTCATAGAATCACATTTGCCAATGCAATTAATTACTCATTAATTTGACTGACACAGATTGTACAAAAAGAATGCTTGTTGCCAATATGTGCAAAGGCTTTTCCTGTTCAAAAGATATCACCCACACAAATACTCTCCATTTTATATTAATTGAACAATTTCTATTTTACATGATATTTAAAAAATCATTAATAAGTAAATAATTTTATTAATTCAACTCTTAAAAAGTCTTTTGCTAATTTACAAATAAATGTGAATATTTTCATAAAAAAAATAATGACAAGAATAATATAAAAAAATTAGTACTTAATATTTTTTTTAATGTATTAAAATGATCAACTAACAGAAACAAAGCAAAAATCCATTGCTTTCCACACTGTGGAGCCTTGTGAATGTGTCATCTTGTACTGAATCATTTTATTTGTTGTTTCTCATTAGTCATTCTTTTCTAATCTATTGGTTAAACACAATACTAATTTGATTCACAAATATTATTGCTAAGTACAAAGATTATGTTGGAGTTATAAATTCCTTAAACCATTTTCTTTCAATTATTATCCCAACTACTATTCAATGGCTTATTTCACGATATAATACTCTATGTTCTAGTTTACACGATTTATTTTTATTTTTAATCCGTTTAAAAAGAATGAGATATTTTATGTTTAATAGTAACAATTTAATTTTAAAATGTCATATTATTCTTAATGATACAAATTATACTCATACAAGTATCTTGACTTATTTTAAATCATAAATTTTACAAGTCTTTTTTTCTTAAATTTTATGTCAAGTCAAACTACATCACATAAATTGAGATGAAAAAGTATTATACTTTCTTAAAAATTGTGGTCTAACATAAGTCATTTATATAAAATAATCATAAATATATGTATGACTATAATTTTATAAATAATCTGATTAAATATAAAATATAAATTTTATTACATAAATTGAAATGGAGAAAATAAATAAATTCTTTCATTTAAAAAAATTGTAGTACTTTTTTCACCATAAAGTTTTGAACCAAATAAACGAGTATTGTTCAACCCCTGTTAAATCTTCGTTTTCTTATGAATGAATAAAGAGGAAAGGAACGTAAAGTAGCATTCAAGCACACTTCCCGAGAGGCTAATGCATCAACACTGTACAGGATTCCCTCCTTTCTTCTTCTGCTTCTTCTTCTACCTTATTTTCTCATCATTTCTGTAATGGTCCCTTTGCTTAAAAAGTTGAACTGAATGCTCTGTTTTCATTGAATGGTTTCCATTTCATTGTCCAATCGATTCAGGTTACCTTTTTATTGGGCTTAAAGATTACTATTTTGTTCGCTTTTCACTCTCTCCTCTGTTTTAGAGCTTTTCTTCAGCTTCACTTGGGTTTCGTTTCTTCGACTGAAGAGGTCTGATTTACGAGTGTTTCTTTTTCTTTTTGCAGTTTTTTACATGAGTGTGAACCCCTTTTATCCATTTTATCTGTTTTGATGAAAAAAGGGTTTTGGGTTTGGTGTTAGGGTTTTAGTGTTTTTGGGGGGAAAATCAGTGTTAATGGTGGAAATGTTCAATTCAGGGAAGTGGGTGGTTTGATTTGATTGTCTTTTTTTCTTTGTTTAAATGGGTGCGGCAAGCTCAAAATCTGAGAGGAGTGAAGCTCTGAGATTGTGTAAAGAAAGGAAAAGATTTATAAAACAAGCAGTCGATTCTAGGTATGCACTAGCAGCTGCTCATGTTTCGTATGTTGAATCTTTGAGAAATATAGGCATTGCTCTTAGGAGATATGCGGAGGCTGAAGTGTTGATAGAATCATCTCTATCAACTTCAGCTACTGAGCTTGATAAAACTCCGTCACATTCGTCGTATCCATCACCTTCACCATCTCACGTTGGTGGGGTTTCAGATTCTCCTGTTCTAAATGGAAGTCCCCTTTCACCTCCTATTGCTACTAGGTTGAGTTACATGCGGTCTGCTGGACCTACTGCTGTCACTGTTAAGGTGAGTCCACCTTCAACCAATATGTATGTAGATGATGTTGATTTCTTAACCCCATTACCCCCACCCCCACCGCCAGATTCAGGGTCTTGGGATTTTTTTGACCCTACAGATAATGAGAGCTTTAGGTTTGTTACACATAATGGTAGGCAACTGAACTTTGATGAACTTGGTGAAAAAGATAATGAGGGTGACAATGGGATTCAAGAAGAGTTCTTGACACCTAAATCTGAACCTAGAAGCAATAATGGTCATGGTAAATTGGAATTTCATGATTCTAGTTCAGTTATGCCTAAGAGGGCTGAGAATAATAGTCAGCAAGTAGCTGGTGGTGAGGGTAATAACGTGAGCAGTGAGCCGAAAGCAAATGGTTCAGTTGGGACTACGATTGGGAAATCTGCCTTGCAAGTATCTGGTTCAAAGGGAGACAAGCCTTTAGTGGATGAAAGAGAGGATCCTTCAGAGTTCATAACTCATAGAGCCAAAGATTTTCTTTCTAGCATAAAGGACATTGAACATCGATTCTTTAGAGCATCTGAATCCGGAAAAGAGATTTCAAGAATGCTCGAAGCTAGCAAAATCAGAGTTGGGTTTTCTGAGGCCAAAGGTAACTGTCTCTTTGAGACATTAAAGAATGCTCTTTTATTGCTTACTTTGGTTTTTGCATCATTTTACCTACTGAAATTCACATGGTTTTTTGGTATCTATGGTCAAGTGCTAATACATTGCTTCTTCAGGAAAATCTTCGGTGTCCGCCTATTTGTCTTCTATGGGCTCAGGTTGCTGCAGAAGAGTGGGTGAGAACATGGCTGGTGGTAAGTTCATTGAACAAATTAATAAATCATGTCTTCATATAAAAGTTGTCAATTTGGTTATTTAATTAAACATTATATAAACAACCTCAAAAGAGGAAAAACATAAATCCAAATTCAGGCTTTAGATTGCAGAATTTGTGATTTTACTTAATTGTGTTACTCCAAAGGCAGTAAACTTGGGGTTTCTTCATGAAGGCTGTGTGTTAATGAGATAATCACATCAACATGTAATTACTAGAGCTGTAAAGATTGGATATTGTAGGCTTTTCCCTTCAAAACAGTTTCTTTTACTATGAGCAAAATAGTAAAATTTTTATCAACATTTTGAGCTTACTTGAAGCAAAAAGGTTGATCTTACTTTTGGAGCACTGTAAACCTTAATATTGATGAAATGGGCGTTTAAGTCAGAATGTTGACAGATTTAACTAAGAGGCCTGTTGAGAAACTTTGCAGCACTTGCATCCAAGACAATTGTTTTGAAAATGGCTCTTTGGTCTTTCGTGGTCATTTTAAGTCATATCTGAGTCGTTGTCCTACATAATTCTTGTCCTTCTCTTTCCTTCTTTGAGCTAGTTGGGGCTTTGGGTAGGTGGAGGAGTGTGAGCATTGTTGAGTATGGGCGAGAAAGCTGGTGGTGACTGCAAGTAGCTGTGGCTGATGGACGGGTTGATGCCTTGTTGATGGTGGTAAAGGCTATAGTAATTGGGTTGTAGTCTTGGTGCTAAGCGGTGTTGTATAGCATATTGAAGGGAGAAAGGGATGTAGAAAATTCGAAATAGAAAGAAAAGGAAAGGAAGCAAGAGAAATGTGTGTGACTGCAGGATAAGAGAGGTTAGAAGAGAGAACAAAAAATTGAGCGAAAAAATACAGTGAAGGCTGTGGTGAGGGGATGCAAGAGTTGTGAGTGGATGGTGGAGCTTGGGGATGCAGAGGTAGTTACCTTGGTTAAACTTTTGGTTTACTCCGAGAAGATCACTGAGGTGTCCTAAGCTATTGACCAAGGGTGTGGCCTAGTGGTCAATGAAGTGTGTTGAGACCATGATGTCTTGGGTCAAATTCCAGTGGAGACAAAAACATTAGGTTATTTCTTCCCGTTTGTCCAAGCCTTGGTGGGTAGAGGTACCCAGTACCTGTGTTGGCTAGAAGGTACCCTGTGAAATTAGTTAAGGTGCGCCCAAGTTGGCCGAACACCACGATTATCCAAAAAAGAATTTATAGCTTGTGATGGTGTACAGAGTTTTAAGATATTAATTTGATATGTGAACTCTAAAAACTCGTGAATGTTTTAAAAGATATTATTTATAGAACGGTTTCAAACAGTTATGGGCATCACTAATCAGAAAACTTCATATAAATTTGAGTTTGAGACAGGGAGAGAGTATTTACTTTTTACGTCCATCCAAGGCGAAGCTGAAATGTCCACGATTCAAGAAATTCTAGTCCTAATGTGCTCCAACAAATCTAGGGATTTATTATCTAAAAAAACACAACACAAACATAGGGATTTAAATCACAACTACCCATTAACGGAACTAAAAGCATAATTAACTATCAAACCTGTTTGGAGTAATGCTGGACAAACTTGATTATGGAGTTAATGTTAAAAAAATTGTCATGGAGTAAGTTTTTTTTTTTTTTTAATAACCATGGTGTTCGTGCCTGTTTTTGCGCACCTCGACTAATTCCACAGGATACTTCCAGCTCCCACCAATAATAGGTACCAGGTAACTCTGTCCACCAAGGATAGGACCTATGGGAAGAAATCACCTAGTATTTAGAAATATGTAATTCAAGTTTGGTTGTAGTTCATAAATTTGCTAGCACAGTAGCACTAAGAATTGAAGCAGGTCTTTCACGAATCATTTGCTTTTTATATTTTAGTTGATCAAAGCATTTCTACTCTTTTTTCCTGTTCATTGCTGTTCTAATACTCTAGTGCTATGCAGAAGCAGACCATGTAACAAAGGTGATTATCTGGAAGAGGACCACATCCTCTAGATCATCTTCATCAAGGAATCCTCTTAATAGCAAGGATGACAATGATGATAGTGGAAGTGATTTTGTCGAAGATTTTTGTATGATAGCTGGAAGCCACTCATCCACCCTTGACAGAGTATATGCATGGGAGAGGAAACTCTATGATGAAGTGAAGGTACTGACCTAGAAAGTTGAGTGTCCTGATTATTTTGAATTATTACATTGGTGCAGGATTAGCTCAGGGAGCTTGTAATTACAGCTCAAGTAATTCAAATACAAATAAAAGCTGAATCTTCAGATATTAATAAGCAGACTTCCAAGAAATAGTTGCTAAATATGGTTTATAGAGTAAAATACACCTTTCTTTTTTTTAAAAATGGTTTAGAGTAAAATACTGCAGAATTTGAGAATTAAGGAAAATTTTAGTAGCCTTGATCAAACTAGGATAATTTTAGTAGCTGAATGACACATTAGACAAAGAGTATACTGAGAAACATGTGGTGAAATGACCCTTCAATTGATAATTGTGATACTCGGGCCAGCTTGTGTGCACTTAGATTAATTAAGCGTGTCCCTGCTACCTCCTACCAGCACAAGTACTGGGTAGCTCTGTCCACCAATACTTGGACAGACGAGTAGAAATCACCTGGTGTGTTTTTATTTCTGCTAGAATTTGAACCTGAGATCTCATGTGTCTCAACCCACATCATTGACCTGTAGGCTACACCTTGGGTGTTGTTCATCCTAAACTACACAATGTGTAGCCTATTGACTTCCCCTAGGAGTATTACGTAGGCCGATAGCTGCATTGCTCTATAACCAGAGATCTGGAAATACCAAGTTAATGAGAAATTCCAAAATGCTGAAATCTGTTGGACTTTTTTCCCCTTAATTTCTCTGTCCTCTTGGTGGACTGCAAAACTTCATGTGGGTCTTCTATATTACTCATTCACATTATATACATGAAAACACCCTGTCTTCCAACTTTTCCTTTTTTGACAAAATTCTGTTCTGCTTGAGGTGTCTGAGCACATTTCTTTTATTCATTCTAAAGCATATTCATTATCATTGAGCTTCACTTTCATAGAAGTCCATCTCTTGTTATCCTCCTTGATGATGTCAAAATGTATCTTTCTGCTGGTGCAGTTGTTGTTGTGGCATTGCTCTTTCATAAGAATCCCTATTTGTTTGATAAAGACAGAATCTGGTTGACAACAAGAACGTTTAGCAAGTTATATTTATATCCATAAAAAATGATGTTTAATAAGTTATGTTTATAAAGTATTTGGTTTTTAGGTCCATGTCTTACTGCAGTACTCCAAACTACCAATCTGTCCCGTCAGTTTCAGTTGCTTTATACTGGAAAATCCTTCTTTTAGAAGCTGTTCTGGATCAGGAGCTCCATTTACTCCAGTTCTCACTAGTGCCAATAGATAACAGCCAATCGAAGAATGTTTCTTTTCTGCGGAGTGGGTGTTCAGAAAATTTGTATATATGGAGGAAATTACCATGTGGAAAACAAGACAGAAATTCGGAAATTTCTTTTAGTATTGATACTAATATTGATAAGATACATTTTCATTTTGGTTTCTGGACCTTCCATAGTTTTGTTGTATTTCACACCTCATCACTGTTCTTGAATTGAATCTTGAGGAAATGAGATGAACTATAGAGCCTTTCATGGGCATGTCATTATTGTGGTAATTTTAGAAGATAATTTCTCCTTTTGTGTGATTTCAAAGCTCATTTGCTGGTCATCCTCTTTAATTTGTAGACGATTGAGTCAATCAGGAGAGATTATGATCGGAAGTGTAACCAACTTAGGCATCAATTTGCCAAAGATGTTAGTGCCCAAATAATTGACAAAACACGGTCAGTGGTGAAGGATCTCCATTCACGCATCAGGGTGGCTCTATATTCAGTTGATTCAATATCAAAGCGGATAGAGAAAATGAGGGATGAAGAGTTGTTGCCTCAAATTTTGGAACTTATCCAAGGGTAAGGACAACAATTCTTTTACTCTTCCTGCCATTAGATATTTAATTTGAGGAACTATTTTATTGAACCTCATTTCTAGGGTAATCTGTCCATGCACATGCCTTTTATGTTTGCTATTATGTTTACTATTAGATTCGTAATATCTGGGCTCCATGCAGATTGATCAGAATGTGGAGAGCGATGCTTGAATGCCATCATGCTCAGTATATAACCATTTCTCTAGCATACCATGCCAAAGCTTCGGCTTCTAGTCCCCAGGGTGATGCTCAAAAGCTGATTATGAGTCGGCTGCAGGATGAAGTAGAGTGCTTTGGCTTGAGTTTTGCCAACTGGATTAACAGCCATACTTCATATGTGGAAGCTCTTAACAGCTGGCTGCAAAACTGCATCCTGCAACCACGTGAGCGAACCAAAGGCAGAAGAGCATTTTCCCCTCGACGAGTTTTAGCCCCACCAATATTTGTGCTTTGTCGTGACTGGTCCACTGGGATTAAATCTCTGCCTTCTGAAGAGCTTAGTGATGCCATCAAGGAATTCTTGTATGACCTGCGGCATTCAGTTGGACACCACTCCGAGGAACTGCAAAAGAAAGAAACTACTCCTGAACCAGGGAATGAGGAATTGGAAGTGAAAGATGAAGAGAAGAACGATGATAAGTCATCAAATTTGAATTGCATTCACTCGAGTTTAACAAAGGTTCTGGACCGTCTGACCAAGTTCTCGGAGGCTTCTTTAAAGATGTGTGAAGATATCAGGCAGAAATGCGATACAGCTCGAAATGCATATCTGAACTATCGACCAGCACCAAGATCCTTTAGTATATGATTGCATTATGAAAATATGTTATTGTAAATCAAAAGTGGCTAAGAAGATTATGCCTTCTCTTTTTGGTGGAAAATAGGTTACTAATTTAACTGAAAAAGTAGACTGTTCAGTCAGTTTAATGATTAAATATCCATTCTACTTGCGAGTTGCATCATGCATGAGCTTTCAAAACTACGTAGTGAAGGCAGCAACATTTCATGAGTTGTTAACTCTCTTCCTAACTGTTGTCTCAGTATTATGTTTTAACATATTTCTTATCAAAGTAAACATTATTGCTCTTATCAAGGTCAAAAGTTATTAGCAAAACAGCAGCTGCTGCATCATGTGGAGATCAATTTGTAGTGACTAGGGATGCTGCAGCAGTTCCGAATTTAGAAAAAAAAGATAGGTGTGGGACTTGCTGTACTTGAGCCGACAGAGTCTCTTTACGTCCATAAGATAGGTGTAAGATCCGCTTATATTTTGCTCCTTTTGGACTCCAATTATGAAATTACACTTACCTATATTATTGTTATAAAGTAGGTGTGGGATGTGAACCATTTCAACTGGTCCAGCAGTGGAAAATGTAATAAGCTCAAATGGTCAATACCAAAATAAATGCAGAGCAGTTTCTGCTGTTGTTGGGGCTGACAAATTTGTCAAGAATATGACTTTAAGAAGCTTATAAATGTCTTATGTTTTGCTCAACAACCCTCCATCTCAAATTATCTGGTGTATTTCTATTTTTAATGTCTCTTAAAAAGTGATTCTTATTCATATCTTACTATAGTCTCTCTTTACTAAATATTTACTCTATTTATATGCCTTTATCCCTCAATTGAAGTGTTCTCCTCCGTTCCAAATTATTTTCAGTGTTTCTATTTTACACCTCCCTTAAAAAACACTAATTAAGGAAATTTATAACTATCTTTCTTTTATTTTTATTTTAAGACATAATCTTTCTTAAATGAATATTTAAGAAAGATTTAGAAATGAGATAACTATATTACTACCAAGGGTAAAAAAGAAGAAATAACAATTAATTTTATTTATATTTCTAAAATAACAAATAATCAGAAATAACTATATTTAGAAACCACCATAAATAATGCAAATGCTTGATGTAATATAATATATAGCACCCCTTCAGATCTGATTTCATATATAATGTTGAGACAAGTACATCAAGTTCACCTATTAGAATTTGTTGACAAGAAGTGAATACAACAAGAATTCCTCAAGCTTGCTTTACCAAAGATAAAAGTGATACAGGAAGCTTGACATCAGGATAAATAATGGGATACAAAGTATACTTATAAGGACCATGGGGAACTTCTTGAACAATGAAAATCAGAGCTGTTAGAAGCTAGAACCCAACATTCTGAGTATACTGCGTATAAGCTTCTGATGGAGTCTGCACACCAATTGGAGCACGCGTAACATAATCTGGAAGATCAAAGGCATCAACAAGTTCCCTTGCGATATTCTTAACTTGGAAGCATAGATAATCTGCTAGCTTGTGAATTGCCTGTGAAATTAAAAGTGGATGGTCAGGCATAGAAGAGAATCAACCTGGCTAGAGAGTATTATAACTAAACGAAAATTTATAACTTGCTCATTTAACTTCTAAGATTAACCATATTTGCCAAGAGTCATTTACTTTATATGGTTATCTAGATTCTTTAAGAGAATAAAACTACTAAAAGTCATAGTATCTACGATGAATGGGGTCATCAAGATAGAATAATCCTTAAGAACCATATCAACTGCAAAGCTGCAATTAGATTCTGATGTCGCGTACTATACTCTTGAATGGTTTAATTTGCATTTAGTGTTAAATTCAAGATATAAAGATGAAGTACAGTGACTAAATATCCAGCTAATTTTCTCTAGATTCATACCTTAGCTTTGTTAGGGGCCACGTAGTCCACATTGCGGTAAGTTCCTATGTCATTCCAGATTCTATCCAAGGCATATAGATCGCACACGAGTTTTAAGGCAGCACGAGAGTTTTCATCAGGACAACTGCAAATAAAAGAGAGAATTAGATAAATACTAGTTGAAGGAAAGATAAAGTTTCTCAAACTGTGATTAGGAAAGTACTTTTTAACTGCTTCAATGAACTTTTCAAGAATGAACGATTCAATATGAGACTCTGCAAGTGTCAACAGGTGATTTAAACATCTATTCCAAGCACCAAATCCTCCAAGAGTCTTGGAGTGCTTCTGAAGCCGGATAGCTACACTTTGAAGCAACCTTGACGTACGATACTGGAAAAGGAGCAGTTACAACATTAGTTAGATATACAATGCTGTTGTATGCCAATATGTACTGTTGTCAGATTGACCACAAAATACTCACCCTAAAAGCATCCAACTGGAAGTTAGGATTGCGTAAGTGATCTTCACTTTCCCATCTAGCAGTTACCGGGTTAGGCTGAGCAAGGTAAGAATTCATGGATTGTCTTAGGTAGTTCCATGTGACAGTGAGCGTCCCACCTTGGAATTTCTCCCTGTACTGCTTCAACAGAAGACCGGCTACCTGGATCATAAGAACAGTCGTTATACCCTGTCCCTTTATCATATTTTGCTTAAAATAATTAAGAAACAGAACAGTTCTTTTTGTATGCAAGAGGAAATGGACTTGAAATCTCAAATCTCAACCTGCTGCAGAAGAACAGTATTGTCTCCCTCAAATGTCTGAAATATGTCATGATCATTCCTCAAACTTCCAAACCTATTGACAGCGGCATAACCATGGCCACCACAAGCTTCTCTACATGTGCTCAATGACTTTGCTGTGTAAGAAGTGATATAGGCCTTAAGCCCTGCAGAAAGTGCATGTACGTCCCCTATCAGTTCCTCATCATGAGACTTCTTCATTTCAGAATATTTTTCCACCAGATGAAGTGTGGCAAAATGGAATGCGTAGGTTGAAGCCAACATCGGCATAAGCTTGTGCTGCTGAGATTGGTAGTCAAGTATACTAACTTCTGGTTGTTTAGGAGGACCGAATTGCTGGCGCAGAAGAGAATATCTTGTTGCAATAACAACAGCAATCTTGAGAACACCCACAGATGAATACGCAAGGCCAACTCTACCACCAACAAGTTCTCCAAGTGTGGCAGCAAATCTTTTGCTAATTGTAGGCAGGCTGCTGGTGTATCTCCCATCCCGTGAAACATCTCCAAATCGATTAAGAAGGTTATCTCGTGGAATTCTTACTGAACGGAATCTCAACGCACCATTATCTACTCCATTCAAGCCAACTTTATGGCCACAATCATGTATTTCAACCCCTGGCAGTGTTTTGTGGGTTTTCATATCCCTTATCGGAACAATAAATGCATGAACACCCATGTCAGTAACACCTTTTGTATCATGAGTTGGTAACATCAGTCTTGCAAAAACTGTTGCAAACTTCCCATGAACGGCAGCATTACCAATCCACCATTTAATAGCCCCATCATTTGGCGTGTCAATTATGAATTCATCTGTGAGTGGATCAAAGGTGGCAACTGTCTGAAGACCTTGGACATTTGAACCTGGTGAGCAAAAGGATCAAAGTAGATTAGACTGAATCCAAGTGTCCTAATTATCAAAATAACAGCACTATATGGCAATGGTTTTGATTCAAATAAGTGGCATTCTTATGGATGTTAATTGATATATACTTCATCAACTGCCTGGACAATACTAACCACATTCTGCAACGTTCAGATATCCCAATTATATTCCGTAATATTCCTTTAGAAAAAGAGGACGAAAAAATGATCTGAATGTTTCTTTGGAACATAATGCTGTAAATAAGTCAAGGATACAAACACGTACAGAACAACCTAATCTTGCAAATTCCTACCAACGTTTGTTATATGCATTGAGCCGATGTGTAAAGTATTTATCACTACTTTAGCTACGTATGTTATACGCAAACATCATCCCCCTTAACTCAATTGCTAAAACAACTGTACGTGTAGTGCACACGACCAAAGAACATATAAACATCATAGACATTGACCAGGGAGTTCAAAATGGAAGTTGATAGTGAAACGATAAGAATAAAAGTAGTAGTCCAAAACATTTTACCATGATGAAGCTCCGTCATTGCAAAGCATCCCGGGTAGTCCACATTGTCTATACTGTCAAAGTATTTGTCTCTGTGCTTTTTAGTTCCCAAGTTGATAACAGAACCTCCCCATAGACTGTATTGAAAGTCCAATCCGTTAAGAATTCGTTATTACCTCTATTAATGAGAAACTCAAAACATAAGATACCATCATAGTTGCTATAGCAATCGAGATTCAGGAAAAGATGCAACTAGAACAGAAAATACACCATGTTGAATCATACAGTAACAAAGGGAGGATTAGAAAAGAAGACCCTATGGTATGTAAGTTTTACTAGGGTACTCTTGATCACCAACAACCTTAAGGTTTGGAAATGATGCATTCTGAGAAGCATCAAATTCTAGCTTTCTCATACTTGCATAGATGATAAGTTGGCAATTAGGTGCAACATGGCCATAAGTTATACTAGGAACTTAAATCATTTGTACATAATAGCAATAAAGAAGGAAACACTATAGTTGATCTGATCCGGATTAGATCTGAGATATGGTATACTAAAGTGGAGCGACAACATTGTCTGTGCCTTATACTGAAGATCTTTCCTCGATAAACATCAAATAGCAATCAAGGTCTTGACTAGAATCCTATGAAATATCTTCTCTGAGAATATACGAATCCGATTGGTCCATACAATCTTATTCAAAAGGAAGGTTTTCTATCTTGTTTCTATGCATGCTCTTGAACTCAAATAAAGCTATAGAACCCCAAAAGGATCTACAGAAACTTCATCAAATGCATTCTGCAAGGAAGAAAACATTTTGCATATTGGCATATTTCTGGATCCTATTGGTCCTTGTAAATGATCTTACTGGTATATAATCAGCAGTCAGCACAAAATAATTGATTTTTCACATAGCATCAAACTGTTTCATACCAACTACACCTAAGTGGCTAAATTCCACAGACCTCTAAATCCTCCCCGAAAAAGAGAAACTATAAAAACAAAACAGAGGCTAGCTAAAACCCAAAATCAGCAATATGAATCCGTATTAATATTTCAAATTACATATATAAATACCAGTGCTACTCTAAACTCAAATTACAGATAT